GCGGCCAAGAACGTCTTGGTGGCGTGGTCCCGTACGTGCTGGGTGTACGTCTTCTGGTCCTTGCCCTTCCGCCCTTCCAGAAGGCCCTGCCAACGGTCGCCCTGGGGGCGACGGCCTCCGGCCAGCCGTCCCTGCCCCTCGTCCGCTGCCGAGAGGGCACGGCCAAGGCCCGGCCACCGCCGAAAGAAGCCGATCGTTGTCGTCTCTCGGAGCTCCCGAGCAGCCGCGTGGATCCCGGCTTCCCAGGACGCCAGGAGGGCAGCGGGACCGCGCTGTTCGGCGCTGCCACAGCCCAGACCTCCGTCGCTGACCTTCATGAAGATCTGCTCACGGGGGGCGGCCGTGACCCCCAGAAGGGCGTTGAAGAAGGCGACCACTCCGTCGTCCACCCTGCGGCCCCACGCCGCCGTGAGCGGGAGCGCCCGCTGGATGTGGACGCGGGCGCCCCTCGACCAGATCCGCATCAACTGGAAGGCGTCAAAGGCCGAAAGCCCATGCGTGCGGAGCGTCAAGAGCTCGCGGAAGTAGCGGTCCTGCTTCTGGAGGAAGGCCTCGCCGCAGGGAAGTGGCGCGGCGGCACCCGGGGCGGCCCCGGCACCGCCAGCCGGCGCGAGGCCGCCCTCGTCGAGGTCCTCCGGGACGGCAAAGTCCGTGAGCGGGACGCCCCTCCAGTCGGCGTCCACGTCGTGGTTTGTGTAGGCCAGAGTGGAGCCCACCGCCTTGAGCTTCTGGACGCGGCACTGGGCGTACTCCGCAAACTCCGGCGGCAGGACAGCGTGAGGATCTGGGGACCAGATCTGGGTCTTGGACATCTTCATCTTCATCCCGTGGGCTTCGATGCGGGCTCGCCATGCATCCAAGCCGCGGAACACAGCGGCCGCGGTGCCCACGAAGTACGTGTCGTCCAAAAACGCCAGGCAGTCCCCTTCAATGTCCACCGCGCGCACGGCCATGCGACCGATGCTGAGGACATCCGCGGTGCCGACCGCGTAAAAGCCTGGACTCATCGGGCAGCCCTGGTCGAGGCCACGGATCTGGTCGACCAGCTGGGCGGGTTGGGACCCACCCCCCGCCACATGGCGTGTGCGAGCAGGGAGCCAGGCCTCCGCCAGCGGCGCCAGGGCGGGCACCTTGGCGCGCACGGCCTCCTTCACGAGGTCGCGGGGGATGTTGCTGAACGCATCCCCGAGGCCCACCGCCACCACCCACTTGCCTGGGCTCGAGTTGGCCATCGTGCATGGACGTCGATGGAGGGCACCGCATCCGTCCTTGGCCAGGCCAAACTGTTGATCCCCGACCGCCGCCCGCGTGTCTTTGCGGTGGACCTTGGCAGCGCTGCGGCCCACCATGCGGCGGGTGACATTCCCACAGCCCAGGACTCGCACGTCCCCAGGGGTTGCCTTGGGGATGCCTGCGAGGCGCGCCGCCATCAAGGCGGCGAGGGCCTCGGGAGGAAGGTCGCCGATGGCCAGGCGCGCCAGCGCGTTGGCCACCGCCTCCGCCCCGTCCTCGTCGTACTTGAGCAGGGCCCAGCGCTCGTAGCGTCCTCCTCCAGGCCCCGCCCCGCCGCGGCGGGGGAAGCGGCCAAACTGACGCTTGAGGTGGTTGGCAACACGGTGGTGGAGCTCTGCCGCACCGTCGAGCTCGTGAGGGGGCGTGGCTGGCGGCATCGCCACATCGGCCCCCGCCACTGTGGGCCCCCCCCCATGGCCCATGCGGGGCGGCCCCAGTGCCAGGGCGAGGGCCTCATTCGCCTGGGCGGGGCGCCGCAGGCTGCTGGGTGGTACTGAACTTCCTCACCACCGCCGCTGCATCCGCCATGTCACCCTGGGGCCACACTGCCGCTGCCGCCCGAGACATCTCGCCAGCTCGTGCCAGCTCGGTGACACGGCGAACGCGGGCCGCGACGTGATCCTCGCGGCCCTTCGCGGCGACCGCGGTGCGCGTCTGGTCCTCCATGGAGAGCCAGGCGACATCCCATTGGCCGTCATGAATCCACTGCAAACTCTCCTGGAGACGCTCTCGCCGCGTCGTCGGAGTCGGGGTCGCATTTTCACTGAACAGCAACCCATCCAACGATAAGAACACCTTCCACAGCCACGTCAGCGTGCGCGACGCCTGCTCATCGTTGCCCTGGCGGGCCTGCTCGATCGCCAAGCACAGCCGCACCTTCACGTGGCTGACGGCGGCAGCCATGCTGTCGGGGATCATGGCCGTGGTGGGCGCGCCCTGCAGCAGGATGCGGTCCCACCCGATGGCATCCCACCAATCCAGATTGACGAAGCCGATCTCGTGGTACGCGTCCTCGTCCGTCACCTGATCGTCCAGGTAGTCGTCGTAGACGCCTGCTTCAAGTCCCCCGTCATCATCCGCATCCGCAGGGGCGTCGAGTGGCGGCTGCAAGATGTCCGCCGTGGACGGTGCCGCTGCCTCGGCTGCCACAAGGGGGGCCCCTCGTGAGCCTGGGCCATACGCCCCTGGCGCGGCGGCGGCAGGGAGCCTCGGGGCGGCCCCAGCGCTCCCTGCCGCGCCATCTCCATGTGAGGGAGGAGTGGGTGCCTGGCCTTCAACCGTTTCCAGCAGGGGCAGTATGGGGCCACCTCGGGCCTCCAGGGCTGCCGTGAGGCGTTCCCGGTCACCCTCCGGGAGCTGCGTGAAACCCACCATCGCCGTCGCTGGTGGTAGGGGGCCATCAACGCAGGCCATGTGGAACCACTTCTTGCCCGCGTGAGCCTGGGAGCCCACGGGGGGCGTCACGGCGCCTGCCACGCGCCATTCGCCCGCCTCGAAGCCTCCCATGCAGCGGGTGCAGTGGGCCTTCTTGCCGCGAGCCGCCTGGGCGCTGACGCACCAGCGAGTGATCCGTCCTCCCGTCATGCGACGCCGCCGCTGTGCCGGTTGGCCCTCGCTGTCCCGCATGTGGACGTCGATGCTGCCGTCCACTGGGATGTCTACAGCGTTCGCGTCGGCCGACGCGCGTGCAGCAGCGGAGGCGCACGGGGCGGCCCCGGCACCTCCGCTGCCTCCCGCGGCTGCCAGCGCACCGCCTTCACCTCGGGCCGCCGCGGCGTTACTCCCAGCCACTCGAGCCCCTGCACCTGCGTCCGCGGCGCCGCCAGCGGCCGCCGCCATCCCAGGACGTCCCTTCAGGGCAAGGAAGAGTGCGCGTAACAGTGAGGGCGCGAGAAAAGGAAGGGTGGCTGCCACCCGCGGTTTGAGGGCAGCAGTAGCCCCCCCGCCCACAGGCTCCCCAGAGCCTTGGGGGGGACTACTACTACTACCACTACTACTACTACTACTACTACTACTACTACTACTACTACTACTACTACTACTACTACTACTACTACTACTACTACTACTACTACTACTACTGCTACTGCTGCTGCTGCTGCTGCTGCTGCTGCTGTTGCTGCTACTTCTACTGATAGTATTATTACGTTGCTGTTCATTATATTACGACAGGTTCTATCGCTGCTACTACCCCCACCGTTCTTCTGAGTACTCCTGCGAAGACCGAATTGGTGCCAATTCCAACCCTGGCACGTATATTGGCTTCCAGAATGAATTCGGTGATATTCGAGGTGTCACTTAGTTTTGACACTTGTCATGAACCGCCCTCTATGATGTTTCCTATTGCGGGCCTATCTTCCATTGGTTGGGATTCGGACCAGTTTGCTTTTCGCGCGGATTGGAATTGGTACCAGTCGGTTGGAATTTGGACCAGTCGGTTGGGATTGGGCCAACATGCCCCCTACCCCCCCTCCGTGGGGAAGGGATCAAAGAGAATGGGCTTCCCTTCGACTCAATGACAACGTTGCTTAATTTCGCTATAGGCTGGTGTGTTTCGCTTTGGCTGGCGTGCTTGAGGACGAGGGCCCAAGGAAAGGGGGGGAGCGGCGACGGACGCAGGGAAAAGAGGGGGCGTGATGGCGGCGGCGACGCGACGGCGGCAGCGACGGCGATGGCGAGGGAACTGCCCTGTGCGGATTTCGGCCTCCGGGGCTTGTTATCAGGCCCCTGGACCATGAAAAATGGACCCGCGACGAAAAGCTACACCCAAGAAAGGGATCGGGAGTTCCAGGGCCGCGGATTGGCAAAAAAACATTCTGCGGATGTCAGAGGAGGGGGGGAGGAGATCCAAGGTTCGAGGTTTTCGCACGTTTGTCTTGGTCCTCGGCAATCTTCCAGCCTCGGAGTGCTTTCCAGGAGCTGCGCTTCGCCAAGAGCGTCCCCGAACGGTCGCCGAAGACACGAGTTACGACCTGAAAGCCAGACGACGAAGGTCACCAAGGGTGTCCACGGCTCGGTCGGTTCGGCTACGTCATAGTCGGTTGCGTTTGGTCGATTCGGTTCGGTCGATTGTTGTGTCGTTGCCGCGTCGCTGCGCCCTTTCTCGGCCCTAGGCCCCAGGCTGCTTGCGGCCTGTCGGCTTCGGTTTCGTTGTCGGTTCGGTCGTGTTTCGGTTGTGGTGTCGCCGTGGACGGCCTTAAAAAGCATACCGATTCGGTGCTCGTCCTCAGCTCTCGTGGGGGAAATAGCGCCGTGCTGCTGATTCGATAACCTTCCCCCGTCGCTAAAGTGCGCCCCCCAGGGCGCGCCCCCTCAGGGCGTGGACAGAGCCATTTGCGTTGGGGTGTGGGAGTGCCCAAAGAGAGCTGGCGTGGAAAGAGCCACAAGCGCTGGGGCGTGCAGATGCCCCCAGAGGCGCTGGCGTGGACATCGGAATTGCCACAAGCGCTTGGGCCTCCCCCGTCCGTCCGCTTTTGTCCCCCCACCCCACCCCCCAACCCCCAGTGGGGGGGTGGGCCAGAAGTTTAGGTCGCCCAAGGGGGCGCCAAGATCGTCGCGCTTCGCGCGTCGCGGCCCAGGCCGCGAAGGTGCCCTTCTCCAGGGCGGCGGCGCGAGAGCGCGAAGGCAACCGCGCGTCACGCCTCGCGAGGCGCGAGGGGGCGCCCTTGGGCCCGGGGCTCAGCACGCCTGGCAAGCCCCCGACCGAGGAGCGCCCTCCAGCACGCCCTGGGGCACTTCCCGTCCAGCCGCGAGGCGCTCGTCGCGGAGGCCCGCCGCAAGCGCGCCGACCTGGCCCGCCAGGGTCTCCTGCCCGCCGCGCCGGCGAGGGCGTCCGTGTTCCTGCCGCCCTCCGCTCCGATGGCGCCCCCGCCGGCGCGGAGGCTCCGCCGCGCGACGCGACCCGCGGGCGGAGCGACCCTCGGGCGAGGCGAGCCGCGTACGGAGCGGGCCGCGTTCGGAGCGAGCCGCGGGCGGAGCGAGCCTCGAGCGAGACTGCTCCAAAACATCCGACGTTGTAGCTCTTTTCGCAACCTGGCTCCAGGCACTGCCCGCGGTCCGTGTCGAGGCGGGGGTCACCACAGCGACGACGGCGTGACGTTGTAGATAGGGGGTCTGGACCCCTTCTTGGGAGACCCGGCACTTCACCCCGAGCCCCCCAGAGGCCAAAGCTGTCCGTCGCGAGCTTGTCCATGACGCGAGTGTGTCAGGGCGGGCGGTGCGAGCCTCGAGCGAGACTCTTCCCCGATGCGGCCCCCCGCCAGCGCGCAGGCTCCGCCGCGCCTCCACCTCGCTCGCGGCGCCAGAGGTGGGCCGCGGGGCTTCGCCGGCAGGGGCCCCTCCGGGTGGAGCCCGCGCGCCGCGGCGCCGCAGCAGCGTCATCGGCTTCGAGGCCTCGCCCAGCGACTGCCGCAGGAGCAGCGTCGCGGGCTTCCCCGCGCGTTGCCGCGACGCGCAGCGGTGGCGGTGCTCCGCAGGGGGGCACCCGTGCACCCAGACATGCGGCGGATGTCTGGGCACCACCGCCACGCCTGACCGGGGCCATCCCGGCCCCGCCCACGGTGCGCAGACCCTCCGGGCCTCTGGCCAGCGAGGGCGCCCACGCCACGGCAGGGGGGGGGGAGACCAGAGGATGGCCCTGGCCAGGCGCAGCGGCGGTGCACGCGGTGCCCCGCGGGCAGGTACTGGGCCAGCAGCGGGGGCCGCCTGGCGGAGGTCTGCGAGAGCGGCTCCAGCTCCAGCTCCAGCTCCAGCTCCAGCTCCAGCTCCAGCTCCAGCTCCAGCAGCGAGGAGCCGGAGCCCGACGGGGGCTCCAGCGGCGCCGAGCAGGCACGGGGCGCCAGCCGCGGAGGAGAGGGCACCGAGGGCGCGCCCAGCGGAGAAGGCCCTCGCCGGACCCTTTGCGCCGGCTGGAGAGGAGGAGCCGGCGGCGCGCGCAGGGGGGTGGCGCGGCGGAGGGGGGTGGCCTTCCAAGAGAGCGGGGGGGGCTTCCAGGAAGCCTCCCTGCCCTCGCAGCAGCCGCCCTGCCTTTCCCCCTCTCCGGCGCCGCGCAGTGCAGGCTGCTGGGAGCAGGCGCAGCCCGGTGGCAGTCCCAGGCTCGAGGCCCCGCAGAGGCTCACACATCGCATCGCTTTTTCAAGGCGTTGGAGCCGCCCGCCCTCTCAGAGGGCCGCCCCCCTCGCGCCACCCCCTATGTGCGCGCCGCCAGAGGACGGGACAGCGCTGAGGATGTACTGGGCGGTCAGATCCAGGCCGCCGCTGGCAGCAGGGGCGAAGGAGGGGAGGGCGCCGAGGGTGCGCCCAGCGAGGAAAGCCTTGGCCAGACCCCCAGCGTCAGCTGGGAAGGAGGAGGGGAGGGCGCTGAGGATGCTCCGGGCGATGAGGGCCGCGGCCAGATGCAGGCTTGCGGCAGCAGCAGAGAAGGAGGGGAGGGCGCACCTGGCGAGGAAGAGCCCTGCCATACCCCCAGCGCCATTTGCAAAGAAGGAGGGGAGGGCGCTGAGGATGCACCGGGCGATGAGGGCCGCGGCCAGATGCAGCCTTCTGGCAGCAGGAGGCAAGGATGGGAGGACGCCGAAGGCAAGCATAGCGGGGAGGACCATTGTGAGGAGGATCGCAGCCGAACTTCTGGAAGCGATCAAGGGCAAGGAGGAGAAGAGGACGCCATTGATGAGCCTGGCGCGAAGTGCGAAAGCGAGGTCCCGTCTATTGGTACCAAGGAGGCAGGAGAGGAAGATGCTGAGGGTGAGCTTGGCGAGGAGGGCCAGGGCAAGATTCCTTGCGGCGCGGGCATCAAGGCAGATGATGACGACGCTGAGGATGCGCTTGGCGATGAAGACTGCGTCCATGCTTCTCTAGGCGACGGGGGGGCGACATCAGGGGGAAGAAAAGGAGGGACGCAGGTTCAGAACGGGAAAAGTCGACACAGAATCAGCCAGCCATCGGCAATCGGAACGTGGAAGCCCTTCTGCGGCCAGGAACGATGCTGCTTCGCTATCGGAGGCTTACTGGCAACCCATCGCCGACGTTCTCGTGAATTCCAGGTCGATGTTGTCCACCTGACTGGCCTCCGAGCAGACCGACCCACTCCCTCGCCTCGCTCCAGGACGTGGGCAGGCGCTCAGAGGCGCGCCCGGTATCCCCTGTTAGTTTCCCCCCCTTCCCCCCCCCCCCCCCCCCCCAGGAGACGAAAGCAGAGTGGAAGCGCCCTGCGATGGAGACCAAGCCCAGACTGCTGCTGGCGGCGGGGGCACTGCGGAGGAGAACGCCGAGGAGGCGTCGGGGTGCGGTCTTCGTCCCTCTCCCCAGACCCCCGACGTCGTGACCCTGTTCGCAACGACAACACCTGGAGGTCTGAACCCCCTCCTCTGGACCAGGTCTCCATCCTGAGCCGTTTCTTGGCAGGCCTGGGGCTCGGTAAGGGCCCAAGGGTCCGGAAATTGCCAAGAACATCCCGTCGCCAAATAGTTCGCGGCGCGAGTCGACCTCCAGACCTCTCCTTGGTTGCGTTCTGGCCAGAATTCCGAGGCGGATCCGGCCGTGGCGACGGGAAGCATCCCAAATGCTCACAGGGTGAGAAGCGCCGAAAAGGGTTGATGATGTTGATGTTGCTGCTACTGCTGCTGCTGATGGTGATGGTGATGGCGGTAATGGTGATAATGGCGATGATGGCGATGACGGCGATGATGGCGATGATGGCGATGATGGCGATGATGGCGATGATGGCGATGATGATGATGATGCTGATGCTGATGATGATGAGGAGGAGGAGTAGGATGAGGATGAGGATGCGGATTAGAATGGTGATGGTGATGGTGATGATGTTGATGATGATGTTGATGATGATGATGATGATGATGATGATGATGATGATGATGGTGACGATGGTGGTGGTGATGGTGATGGTGATGGTGATGGTGATGGTGATGGTGATGGTGATAATGGTGATGGTGATGGTGATGGTGATGGTGATGGTGATGGTGAGGATGGTGAGGATGATGAGGATGATGAGGATGGTGATGGTGATTGGGATTGTGATGATGATGATGCTGATGACGATGGTGATGGTGATGGTGATGGTGATGGTGATGGTGATGGTGATGGTGATGATGATGGTGATTATGGTGATGATGATGATGATGGTGGCGATGATGATGGTGATGGTGGCGATGGTGATGATGGTGATAATGGTGGTGATTACGATGCTGATGATGATAATGATGATAATGATGATGATGATGGTGATGGTGATGATGATAATGGTATTAGGGGATGGGGATGGGGATAGGGGATGCAAATCAAGATAAAGATAAAAATGTTATTGGTGATGATGGTGATGATGGTGGTGATGGTTTCTGGTGCTGTACTGCTGCGCGGGTTCCTTCGCTGCCTGACAGCCTCCATCCGGAAAATCCTCGAGCCTCGATCGGCGCCTCGCCTGGCGACGAGGAGGGCCGCAGCCCGCCTCCCGGCGGCGAGGCCGGCGCGGCGCGGGAGGAGACAGCACAGGGCGCCCGCGCGAACGCGCTGCTTTTTTTTGCATCCCGGGTGCACATAACGGTGCTGTCTTTGCCCACCCTCGAGAAAGAAGAAGTGGCAGAAGCACATGTTGTCGGAGTTCCGCGCGGACCTCCGAAAGTTTGAGTTGGTGTTCATTGTTTCTTCTACACCTGCTGGGAAATACCCGACAGACCAGAGGAATCTGGGAGCCCTGGGCGCTATGGCGATCTGGGCAAAAACGACTACGGAGACATGCACGATGCGATTGACTTCTATGCTGCACGGACTTTTGCTCGCACCCGGCGCAGCCTAACCTTATAGCCCGCGGGCCTTCCTCTGTTCTGCCATCGTCAGTCATTGATTGCACTTGCCCTGATATGTAGCGTGCTGTTCGCGCAGCAGTGCTTCTACGCCTCGGAAGAGAAAGAAAGAGTGACTGCTGTGCTGTACCTGCCTCTCTCCCAGGACGCCGAGGGCGCGCCGCCGGGCGAGGAGAGCAATGATGGCCGGGGGGGGCCAGGGACAACGATAAGGAGGGACAGGTTTAGAGGGGAACGCATCGACCCCAGTGATCGTCGATAGCTTCGGGCACACGCCAACATGGATTCGGGATTCGTGGATCTGGCACGTGGGCGCCAGATCCATGCATCGGGAAGGTACCCCCCGAAACGTGAGCCCAGTGCCGCCCGATCTGGAGACGGAGCGCAGTGATTCTGTGCGGAAGCGGGGCCTGTCGCTAATCCACGTTTGCGCTTCGTCGATAGGGGTCCGATGGCCTCCCCCGCCCAGGAACGTGCGGATCTACCATCGGGGCTCAATGGCCGATACATCGGCGATGCATCGCTGGATTCCAGGTCGATGTCCCCCCCCTGAGCGAGCGCCCGAACGTCATGATTTTCTCATAACGTCGACCCCCAGAGGTCTCGACCCATTCCCCGGGTCGGGTTTTTCGTCCTGGGGCTTACGAAAATAGCGCAAGACCTCCCGTCGTGATTGTTTCATGAACCGGGAGGGTCCAGGCTTCGATTTCCATCAAAGTATGGGGAATGGAGGGGACAAAGAAAAGCCATAAAGACATGTAGAAATGCAGGGGATATTTGAATATGTGTCTATTTCATCGCGCATCTTTACATCACCCCTTCCAAGAAGCCTTCCCCCCTCCCTCCCCCTAACCCCTGCCCCTGCCACTCTCCCCTCCCTCCTCCGGCCC